CATCCTCCCAGAAGAGCTTTCTTGCTCTGAATTTTGGATCTGTATCATACATAATTGACTTGTAAATGTGTTACTTTTCGGGAGGCAGACTTGTTTGCTTACCTCCCTGCACTGTTGTACAAAACTTCTTCATTTGAAGGGACTGAAGAAAAATTTATTTCTTTTGCCTTAAAGCTTACTGAAAGTGATCTGTTGTTCCCATCTCAAGGAGAAATTGACACAGTTGCTGTTGAGCTATATCTCGTTCAAGCCCAGTAGCGGGTCTTTTCCTTGCCAGGCAGGACTGTCACTATAACCTGCTCATCAACCCCACCAAAAAAAAAAAAAAAATTAGGTGAGGTTAGGATAAAAAATCTCACAGGTCTTTTATTAAAATTAACAGAAACTTTGAAAGAGTAATTTTCCTTCTGCCATTCACTTAATCAGGAGCTCAGATGCAAAGGCTCAGGTGAAGCTTCACTTCTAAACCTCAAGTTTTAAAATCTAGGAACTCTTGTTAAGAGTTCAGTATTCTCTTGAAAACACACCAGTTCTGTATCTGAAACTTTGTCATGTTATTGGGCCTGGAGTATGTATGTTTCCTTTAAAAGGCACCAGAATTAATGCAATGCCCCCTCAGGCAGAGTGCTTGTGATCAAAGGGCTGTGAAAGATTGGATGCTGATAGTATTTTCTTTTTTTTTTTCTTTTTTTTTTTCTTTTTTTTTTCTTTTGACCCATAACATCCTTAAATACAGTTCAGCAGTGCAATAACATTTTATGTTATTCTGGAACTAGATTTTCTAAAATGTTTGTTAGTAAAATGCAATGTCTCCTTTTTCTTCCTGAGAGTGGAATAATCTCCTTTATTTTTGTCCCTGGACTTTTTGCCTGCTGTGCTGCAGATCTCAGCAATAGATCTGTTTGTGGGTATGTGTGTGTTTATACATATGCACGAGTATGAACATAGCTGGGGGTCAGGCTGCACTTGTCTAATGTAGGTAGCATGATTTTTTTTTTGGTTGTATTTATGTTTAAAATTGACTTCTCATTCTTCACATGAATGAGAGTTTGTCTAATTAAGCAGCCAGTATTGTTCAAGCCTCTCAGTGTTCCACAGCTCTGAACACCAGTTGCTTGCTGTCCTTGGGTACAAAGCAACCTGCTCACCACAGGCAACAGGGATAAAGTGTTCAAAGGACAGTGGGACGTGATTCAGTCTGTGTTTCACCTTATAAACTTCCCTTTTCCCCCGCCCTCCCCCTTCTCCTTCTGCTTGGCAATAAAAGAGTGTCCTGTGTAATAGGAGTTGGGAGAGGGGGAGGAATAGCAGGCTTACGATAGACCTAACTTTGCTGAAACATTGGATGATGTCCAGTGTGACCATGCAGAGGGATGAGCTCAGGGAAATGGTTGGAAGTTCAAAGACCTTTTTGTATTGCTCACTGTCAGTTGACAGATGTGCTCTCTTTAGCTGTTGCTGCCCTGCCTAGTTCTTCCCACTGGCTCCCCTTCCTTGGGTTTGCTCCCCATCCTGCCTCTGGCTCTGCCTGGGGAGGCAAGTTAGTACCTGTCTGTCTGGGCATTTGCCTGCTTTCAACTCCATCCTGGGACTTGCCTTTGCTCATCTCTCTTAGGAAAATATTGTTTCTTTGCATTGATATGGAGAGATCAAGCTGGAATTGAGCAGAGAAGGGGGGTTGAGGCTTAACTGTGTTTACTGTTGGCATAGCCTAATCCTGCTGTGAGGACTGGTGAAAGCATTTTACTACAATCTATGATTGTCTCTTATCAGGAGAAGTGATGCCTATGAAGGACTTGTAGCTGTTTCAAAAAGTAATAAATATCCTTCATTTTACAGGTTGGAGAAGGGGGAAAAAGAGGCAGAAATGTCCCAGGGTCATACATCAATATCAAGATAGGATAAGAATATGGGTATTCAGTTTCTAATCTTCTTGATGCTAATCCAGTTTGTCCTCCAGCAAGATGAAGAGGTCTTGTTCCACCTCTGTCAGTGAAAAGAGTTCTTGCTGCTTCATTTGTATTTCATGTACCTACTTTGTGACTATGGCTTTTAAAGTTAGCTATGTGAGTGAAAACAATACACTTACCAGACTGTATAGCTGCTCCATTATGTCAGAATAAGACATAGTGGTGGTTGTTTGAATGTCCTAAGTGTGACCTCCTAGCTTTTGAATTTCTTCTTAACTTCAAATTTCCAAACACTTTGGATGTATTTACAACAGTATTAAACATTCACTGTGTGCTAATGATATGGCCTTGGCTTTAACTCTATAGAAATAAAACTCATCAAAATATGAAGTGATCAATAGCCAACAGAAGAGCTGATTAGTAACAACCCTAGAGCAAAGGGCTGTGCAGTGGAACTGGAGCCTGATGTCCTTAAACAAATCGAAGGAAACTGGAATGTTTTTGTGTAAGCAGTGTGCTTTTTAGTGGGAAGAAGGGATTGGGAGGGCAGAGCTAGGAAGAGGGGGATTTGGAAGATTGCCCCCATGTGAAAGCCGCTCCCAGAATTTCTTGCATTTTCTTTTGAAGCATCTGTTTCTGACCATTATTAAAATCAGGTTACAGGTTTATGTGGATCCCTGCCCTGATCCCATTGGCAGTTCCTCTGCTCTATGAGACATCAGCCCTCATTCATTAGGTTTGGTTTTTTGGTCTCAAGTGGGTTTGTGGTTTTTCTTCCTCCTTTAAAGGAGAGCTCCTGTAGAAGGAGATTTAATTCCACCCTGCCCCCACTCCAGTGTTTTCTGGGCTAGCACACACTTGATCTCTGCTGGGTTAGGGAATTTGGTCCTCCTTTGTATATGGCAGTTTGTGTTTTGCTCTCTTCCCCTGTGCTTGAAGCTTGATTTTTATATCTAGGGCGAGTATGAAATTGGTTGAACTGTTTCCTGTAGGGGTGGAATTTCATTTTATGTCCTTAGCTCATGAAGGGATGCAGCAGTTCGGTGGGATAATGGTATCTGCTCTGAACCAGCGCTAATGGCTTAACCCTCTGGGAGCCTGAAGAATTCTCCCCTGGAGAGTGAGCATGCAAATTCCCTTCCAGGTGGCTCCTGTGCAGTCCTTTGGTGATTAGTCATGCTAAAGCATATGCTGGGAGGATGGTCTTAGTCCTGAAATTGCAGCTGAGGCCAGGGAAGGTTTTTCTCAGCATGCAGTGTTTGGAAGTTGTTCTTGGGGGAGAGAGGTCTGATCTGTGGGACTGATCATCTGAGTCCAAAAATGTCCTCGTTTTGTTTGGAAGCAGAGTTTGGAAAGTGGAGAGTTTTCTACTTCTACCTGTCCTGAGGAAGAAGACAAAACTCCTTCTTCATTTTGCTGCAGCAAACCACAGAAACTGAAATATAAGGAAGGGGGTCAGTTATTGGAAGATCAGGATGCTGTCAAATCTGTAGATGGAAAATACAGATTTCTGTGCTTCCCCTTTCTGAGTATTTCTTATCCTTCATACCCCTCTGGGGCCTAGAAGTAGCTGGATATGAGATGGATAGCTATCTGCGTGGGGTAGCCTAGACATGATGGGAAGGACCTTTTCCCGAGGGCCAATGCCAAATTCTTTGAATGTTGAGGGCAATTACATCTGTAGTGATGTCGTCAGAAATGGAAATGCCTGCCACACTAAGGAACAACTGAGAAGATTATCTGAATTTGTGGTTAGAAACATGGATGTTAGAGAAAGTCTGAATTTATCTGCTCTAATATATTCTTAGAGGGGGGGGCGGCTTTTAGGACAGGCCCTTGGTGAAAAATGTTGGAGGACTTGCTATGGAGAGCAGTGAATGATTCAGTATGTATAATCCATGCTTCTTTAACAGGACACTGGCAGCAGTCCTGGGCCACGGGGAAACAGGGTTGAGAAAGCTGGAAAAACTGAAAATGTGACTATTTGTTCTCCTTATTAAATCATCCTCCTTTTGTGTGTGGCTGCTGTCTTCACCTTCCTTTTTTACCCACCTCCCTCCCCTCTCGCTCCCACCTCCAGGATAGTGTTGGCAGGAAAGGGAGTAGCAGCATAGCAGAAGAGGGCTGGCCTGCCTGGTGACAGATGGGAGTTGCTGTCGGCAGGCTGGGCTGGGATGAAAGGGTTTCAGGCAGGGTTTCAGGGCCTTTCTCGCCCTCGCCCCGTCACTTCACTGAGCAAATGCTCTTCTTTGGAGAACACACCTGTCAGGAACAGTCTTGTGCAGCCCCTTGCCTACCACAGCTGGCAGCACTTAAAAGCATGAACCTCTTGGAGTTGAGTGTTCCTCTCATCTGTGGGGGAAAGAACAGGAATGATGCTCCCCCTTGAATTCCAGCTTTGTAGCTCCAGGCCTCTTCAGACACTGTGGGTTTGTGGGTCCACTCCATTACAAACAGACTCCTGTGTGGGCAGGCATCATCCCATGTCTGCCCCCTTCTTTCATCCTTTCTGTATGGAAACCTTGAGCAAGCTTGGGACTGTTGTCCACACCTGAGGTACAGAAAATTATCCCCAGCAGTGGATTCCTGCTTCTCAGCTTCTCCTTGCAGATTTCTTAGGCAAAAAACCCTGACAGAGTCCCCATGCTGAAACACACACTGTAGCATGTGACTTCATAAAGTCAAAACATTGCTTCTGATAGTTCTCACTCTAAGGAACTTGCTGTGTAATAGAAACAGGATGGACTGCCCTGGGAAACATGCAGGAAAGATGTTGATGGTTTAACTTTGCTTGTTATAAAACAAGTGCAGTTATAGGAGGACAGCAGGCTCAAGGATGAAAGAGGAACTCAATGGGGGAATTGCAGCAGCTACTTTATTGTGGAAAGGTCAGTGTTTCTCTGGGGAAGACTGACTGCCAAGCTACAGCCCTACCCTGACCCCCCCTCTAAGGAACAGCTCTTCCTGGTAACTTGAAATTTTGTCTTTTGTTTCTAAGAGATTTAGCTCTGCTCCCTCAGGAGGGAAGGAACTTTGTTCTCAGGAAGGAAGCTGGCTGCAGCTACATGAGGTGTTTCTTTGCTCTTTCAGTGCTGCCCACATGCTCCCCCTTGGACTTCCACTGTGACAATGGAAAATGTATCCGCCGGTCATGGGTCTGCGATGGAGACAATGACTGCGAGGATGACTCTGATGAGCAGGACTGCCGTAAGTCACCTGTCTGAGGGAAGAGGGTGGGTGCAGTGCCTGCCTGCTGTGACTGGGGAAAGTTGACCCTTTTTATTACAGGAATGTAAGAGTCTATCCACTGAATTGGACCACTGGCTTGTAGTAAGCTATATTCTGCCCATGACAGAGGTGTGTACCTGTAAGCCCTGCTGCCTTGGCACCTGGCTTGCTGTTCAGCTGCCTGTCTTGGGGGAGGGGATGCTTCTCCATCCAGCTGTAGAACCGTTTATGCCCTGCAGCCCTGCTAGTTAATGTCCCATGAAGCACTTCCCTGAGCTGGGCTCTTCATGCCCTCCCCTGTTAGTGGAAACACCTAAACCCTGCCAAATCCCACTGAACTGCCTGTCTGGCTGATTTCCTGTGGCCTCAGGTTCCACTGTCTGACTTTTCTGCAGTGCTGGCCTGTCACCAGCATCCTGTCCCTTCAAACAGGGCTCCTTGAGGAGAGGGAAGGTGCTGTAAGGATACTGCCTACACAGAGTTGTATGCATGGTGCTCCAGAGTGACTCTCTTGGAGGAACCCCATCTGAAGAAATGTAGAAATAAAGCTCTTGACTGTAAAGTATTCTATGTCCACTGCATTCGTGGAAGTTAGTTCACCTTCTGATCAGTATATCCCTGATCTTTGCCTGCCTTTTTGGGCAAAGAACTGGGAAGCAAAGTTCAGGGGTTGACATCCTGTGTGATGCTCTGGAATGCAGGACTAAACTCAGTTTTCCAGTCCATTCAAATATATTCATGAAGGAAAAGATATGTAGGTCTGGGTCTCTTTGGTTTTCTGTTTCTCATAAAAGTTTGAAATGCCCTCATATCTAAGATAACAGTGGAGAAGGGTGTGATCAAAAGATTTGGGGACCAATGAAAGGAGAAAGAAGGTTCTGTGCATGAGAGATTCCTGGAAGGTTATTCAGGCTAGCAGTAACCATAGGAGGGTTTCTGATGGACTGGAGTCCTCAGGTGCTAAATTTGCAGTCCTTTTCGTTTCCTTACTTGTCTGCAGACAAGCTTCCTTAGGAGACTTGCAAGGAGAGTGGAATGAGGCTCCAAATACTGAGGTGTTCGCAAGAGGAAGTTCAAATTTTCTCTCTCCTTCTTCAGTGAACATGTCCTTTGCTTTGAAGACGGCTTTGACATTGTTGTGAAAGAAGGTGGAAATACAACACTGCTAGCAGTTATCTGTTAGATAATGATAGAGACTATTAACTCATTTGAAAAGAGGTTTGGATTACCTTTTTTCTGTGCAGGGTTATCTTGAGTCTGTCTTGGGACAGTGCTAGAATACATACCAGCATAGGATGGGTGGCTTCATCTCTCTGTTCCAGCTACTTCCTTCAACCTAAACCTCAAGTTTTAGAGCCTGCTGTACTGTTGGTGTGTGAACAGAGTGGAAAAGAGACACTCAAGAAATCTCCCAGTGGCTCCCCTGGTATTTGTTAGGAGAATCAGCTCTCCAGCATCACCGTGTCCTTGGAGGATGATGTTGCTTGACTTGTAACAAGTCACACATTTGGTGTTCTGCAAGCTAAATCTTCTTGCCGTGCCTTCACCTTTACCCACATTGTGTCCTTGCAGCTCCAAGGGAGTGTGAGGAAGATGAGTTCTCGTGCCAGAATGGATACTGCATTCGCAGCCTGTGGCACTGTGACGGTGACAATGACTGTGGGGACAACAGTGATGAGCAGTGTGGTGAGTTAATGAAAATACTGCCTTCACAGTACTTCAAGAGGAGTTATGAGTTGTGCAGAGTCCAGCCTTGCAATTCTAGGATTCCCAGAACCACGGCTAAGGCTCCCAGCTGGCTTTTCTGGGCTGAACTTGTGGGATATTCCATTCCAAGGGTTGGCTGCTTAGGATCTTGGGCTATGTGGCTTACCTGCCAGGCAAAAAAAATCACTTGAGACCTTTCCTTCTTTGACATGGGATTGTGAATTCCCCTTGGATTCCTGTTGAATCCAGCACTCTGTGTCAGTTCAGCGAACAATGATGGTTTTGCTCGGGCCCTGCCTGGCGTGGATATGTATGGTTTAATGAGCAGTCTTGTTTGTGGGTGCCCGAGGAGCTTCAGGAGGATGTTGTGGTGTTTTCCTGGGTACTCTGAGAAAAGCCAAGGCTTTGTTTGCATTGCTGTCTCTGCAGATATGAGAAAGTGCTCAGAGAAGGAGTTCCGTTGCAGTGACGGCAGCTGCATAGCTGAGCACTGGTTCTGTGATGGGGACACAGACTGCAAGGATGGCTCAGATGAAGAGAATTGCCGTGAGTGCTTTTCTTTGTAATCACAGGAAATAGCCCTTTGGACCTGCTCTTGCCTTGGGTTTTGGCATGTTTTCTGCAGCAGAGATCAAAAGAAAGTTAGTTCTGCCTGTACTGGCAGCTATGCTACCTTCTTCTGCCTACCCCAGAGGGCACAAAAGAATGGTGTCTCTCTTGTGTTACCTCACAAACATACTTCAACTGTGTCTTGCTGCTTCTTTCTTCCCATAGCTGTGACCTTGGGTCAGAGCAGGAGTTTATACTTTACTGAATATAGCTCTCTATAAAACCGGAGGAGTTGAAGGGCAGCTGGAAGGCGAGAATACTATTCCCTTCTTTTTCCTCTTGTCTGATTCCAGACTGAAATTTTGGAAGTGGAGGCATACTCTGCTTATTGAAACCACCCTCAGGTACTGCACACTGAAGACACCTCCTGCCTGCCCAGTCTCCCTTCATGTAAATGCTTTTTGCAGGATGTTGCCCAGCAAGTGACCCATGCTGAAGGAGGGGGGTGGTGTTGGGGCATGAGAACCCACAACAGTTGTTTCCTTCTTCACCTTCACAGGCTTGTAGCAAGTGGGACCGGAGTTTGTGTCCCTTTCTAACCCACACTGCCTCTCTCCTGAGTCTGTGAGCACTGTCCATGTCTCTGGAATTTGCAGTGGTCCCTTCCCCCTCCCTGCTCTCAAAGGCATTTTGCAGAATTTGTTCTAGATAGCAGGAAACTTCAAAAGGCTCTGGGAGGGGGATGAGGGCTGCCAGCTCCTGAAGGGCAGGGGGAGTGGATGCATGGGGGAGTTGTCTTTTATCTTTCCAGATAATGAGACTTGGCAGAAAGCCAGGGGCTGCAAACATTTCTAAGCCAGGAAAGGACTCTAAGAGGAAGCCAGCCTCTCTCCCTCTCCTTTCGCTCTCTGCCTTTCTTGTTCCCTTGCCTGTCACTTCACCGAAGGCCATGAATAGACCCTCAGGAAGGGAAGAGAGATGTTCCAATGTTGCCTCCTGTGGGAGTGGAGGGACACCCAGAAGTGGTGTCCCTGTTTCTCTGAGCTGAAACGCTATTTCAGTCCTAGCTGGCAGTTGTCTCTATAAGACATTTTAAGTAACTTGCTAAGAAGTTCAGTTTGGCTACCTCCTGTTCTTTTATCTTCATCCATGTGGTTGTCATCTTTTTCTTATCTCCAATCATGTTTGTCACTCGTCTGGGACAAGGTGGGATTACACACTTCTTTTTTTGTCTGGGTTTTTTTCCTTTGTTTCTTTTGGGGATGTGTGTGTTATAATTGAATCACACAGCATGATAATTTAAGTCACTGATTTAATTTTCTCAAGGAAACTGAAACACTCAGGCTCTTTTTGGTGAGGGCCACATTAACACACATTTTCATATCCAGCCACTGACACTCACTGAATTAAAGTTCTTAGCTCATGCCTTCAGGCTGTGCCCATTTCTTCAAGTTGAACAGGCAGGTGTAGTTCACTTTGTGGACTGCTCTTTCTTTTCAATCTTTCTTTTCCTTTTTGTTTAATATATTTATATTCAGAACTCCTCAGCTGGGAGACTTGTATATCTGAAAAGTACAGTGCATTCTCCAAATAGTATGAGAAGAGGTGTCAGATTCTGTTGTGTGGGACTCAGAATATTTTTCATGCCTTCCCACTTAGTGTACTGTTGAACAGAGAGCAGTAGGCAAATCCTTGACCATTAGTTTGTTTGGCTTTGCCCAGGGTCATCTCTCTGGCAGTGCTCCTTACTGAATAGGCATGGTTGTTTTGGCCAGAGCTTGAGAGGAAAGGGAGGGGGAAATCCTCAAAGGTCAGGTGCTGGCCTGGACACCCTGCTGCTTGCTTGCTTTCTTTGGTCTTCAAGTGCTTATTTTTGTTAAAATTTTAAAGGAATCATTCCTTAGTTTAACCTTGCATTCTGACATGCCACAGTCCTTAATATGCAGTTATCCCTAAGGTTTCTTTATTTTTCTGTCTACCTATTTTCAGATTTATTAAACAATTTAAACACTTTTTTGGCACTAAGACATAGTGCTTCAAGCATAAGATGGAAGGTGACACTCTTGGATCCTTTTTGAGACTTTGCCATAAATTCTTCCTTCATATCTTTTTGCTTCTCTGGAATTTAATGGCTCTTGAAAAGTTCAGTGTTTATAGCCTAATATCCTATGTAACTTTTTTTAAAAATTGTATTTACTGGATCATCCGCATGAGTCTTTACATATGAGTTTAACCTGCTTTTCAATGAAGCAAAACCAGCATTCCTCTCTGTAATACAAATCATGCAGAGATAAGCAGCAATGAATACTTGCCAATCCATTATGGGGCTGAGAAGGTTGCCTCTAAACTAGAGTGTGCCTTGTCACCTCACATATTTTTTCTTTGATTCCCTTGTTAGCATCAGATGTTCCAGCTGCCACCTGCAGCTTGGAGGAGTTCCAGTGTGCATATGGACGCTGCATCTTGGACATCTACCACTGTGATGGTGATGATGACTGTGGGGACTGGTCTGATGAATCTGACTGCTGTAAGTTAGCACAGTCCTTGTCCAAGAATCAGAGTTGCAAACTTAAATGCATTTTGGGTTAGCTGGAGAAGGGGTTACAGTGTAGATGGCAATCTAATTATTCACAGATAAGCTGGCTCCTTCATTATTAAGGGTTTTGTTTAACTCTGGAAAGTGAGAATAGTGATGAGAACTGTATAGTCAGTGCACTTCTGCTTACAAGAATTACTACAGTTTCCAGAAGAAATCTATTCAGGACCAAGTTCCTTAATAATGGGGGGTAAGGGTGAAACTGAGGAGCTTTGGGGATTGTTGCATTGGTCTGAGTTTGCTCTTTCTGTGTTTTATCATTTCTGCAGCATCTCACCAGCCTTGTCGCTCTGGAGAGTTCATGTGCAACAGTGGCTTGTGCATTAATGCTGGCTGGAGGTGTGATGGTGACTTTGACTGCGATGACCAGTCAGATGAGAGGAACTGCAGTAAGTGCTGGGAACTGGTGGAAACATTCTGTTTCTGTGGATGCAAAAGAGTGTTTGGGACAGTTAGCTTTGGAATTGGGTCTCTTCTGATTCTTCTTGCTTGTCTGATGTTCCTTTTTTGGGCCCTCAGCTACGTCTATGTGCACAGCTGACCAGTTCCGCTGCAAGTCAGGACGCTGTGTCCGTCTGTCCTGGCGTTGTGATGGGGAAGATGACTGCTCTGACAACAGTGATGAGGAGAACTGTGAGAACACAGGTTTGACCTGCTGCTTTGCTGCTTAATAGCTAATTAAGTTTCCATCCTGATGGTAGTAGGTAGTAAAGTCTCTTGTGTTGCTTCAGGGACTTCAGCCTAGAGTTTCTTTCCTTCCCAGAGAATGGGATCTGTCTTATATGCTTGCCAACTTGTGCAGGTCTGTGTGCTTACACTAACTTAGGTGAAGGTGTTTTCTGGTCAAGTATCCTCCTGTCTTGTCCTTACACTGTGAATTACCGCAGAGCTCCAGGACAATTCCATTCAGACTTGGAAACATCAATAATGTACCAAGTTACTACCTTTGTCACATGGGCTATACTAACTTATGCCTTCTAGGTAGTTCTGGATAGCTTTCCTGTTGCATTGTGAAGTTGCTGAACAATTCTAGCAGACAGTAGAATCAAGGAGGACATTTAGTGGAAGAGAATAACAAGACCTTTGTTTTAGAGGATTAAGGGTGTCAGCTTCCCCCTTAGACATTTGCTCAGGAGTTACTTTTTCTAGTATTCATTTCACATATTGCTATTCCTTTGTGTGATAGTGGTTATGGGGAGCAGGAGGGTTTTAACATACCCTAGTGTTATGGTAGGATTCAAGGAATGTCTAGAATCTTCTCTTTTCCTTAAAGTCTTCAGGATGTCTGTAGGTTTTGTTGAGGACTAGAGTGTGCTGGTCCATGAATTGACCCTAGTGTGTGGAGCCCAGCTATATGTACTGATCCTTCTGCATCAGTTTATTCTGAACAGTGGTTTCAGGGGTAACATAATGGATTTGTGAAACTGTACCTCTTGTTTTGGGGCTGTTGAGGAGTGGAGAGTGGCTGTTCTATGAGGACAGCTGAGCTCAGAGGAGCTGGAGAGGCACACTTTGTAGTCAGTTTGGGAGCAGCTGCTCTCAATTGGTCAGCTGTTGCGAGCATCAGTGTGGTGATCCTGGAAAAAGCAATTGTACTTAAAGACAAGCTGGTAACCCTGTTTCCTCATCCTGATAACAAAGGTATTTAGAGGTACTGAAAGAAGCCAAGTCAAACTGCCAGAGCCATTGAAATTGACTATCTCCATATCAAACCAAACACAAGGTGCAGTTACTGTAAGGTTAGTTGTGCAGTTCTACGTTAGGTCTGTGGTGACAGTGAAAGGTCTATGGTGAAAATGAAACTGGTTTTTCCAGGAAGCGTGCTTACTCATCTAAGCGACATAGTGTGGTGTCCCAATGTCTGTAGCAAGAGTTAAAATCCTCTTGGCTTTAGAGCAGAGATATATTTTTATTTGCCATAGAGAAGATTCCTAAAATGCTAGGCAATCAGCTGGTGTAAGGATCTTTATGTTCAATGTGACAAATGAAGTCCAAGTTTCAGAATCCTTCATATACAGTATTCCTGTGCTCTGAAAAGTGAATCTGGATGTTGTCTGGTTTTGTGTTTGCACCTGGTATGTCTGTAATTCTTAACTCTTCTTGTTAATTTCACAACTACCCTTTTCCACACTGTTTACAGGCAGTCTGCCAATCTGATTGTTTCTCTGCTGGTAACTGTATTGTCCTGTTATCTTTGTAAGATTATCAGAGGGTGATGATTTAGGGACCGCTAATCAAGTTAGCTCAAGAAGTACAAGAAGTAAGAGGCAACAGGACAGTGCAATTATTGCTGAAGAAACAATCAGATTGGCAAAGTCCCTACAAACAGTATTACTTTGCTTACAAGAATTCTGTGCAGTCTCCTTGCCAACAGCAGAAGTTGAAGCGTGTAGGTCATGTGAAATCCTGTTGCCTGAGCTCAGATTTCAGGGATGCATGTAAATCTCATTCCAAGTCCATCAAAGTACAGCTAGGGCTAGACAAGATGTTCCTTCCTAGGCAGGCTCAAGATCCATAGCTGTACTGGTGTGACAGATCAGATTATGAAAGTGAGGAACTGACTTCTCCTTTGCACATGCTGAGTAGGATTGTGGATTCTGAAACCAAAGGGAGCTAAGCCAGGACCTTCCAGTCATTCTAAGAGAAACTAGTCAGAAGAACTTCACAGTAAAGCAACAGTGGACTCAGACTAGCAGAGAGTTTGCAGACCTCCAAATCAGCATAAAAGTATGCAGAGCAGTAAGGGCTGCTAGATGAGCTGAATTTAAAGGAAGAAGAAGTAATGTATTTATGCTCATATGAAAAGTTTGTAACAAATCTTGGAAAATATTCTGTATTCTTTTCTTCACCATAACTATTGTTCCATCAGTAAGCTGTGATGTGCTACTTTTCCCTTCTTCTATTGCAGGCACCCCTCAGTGTGCCCCAGACCAGTTCCTGTGTGGGAATGGGCGTTGCATTGGCCAGAGGAAGCTGTGCAATGGAGCAAATGATTGTGGAGATGGCAGTGATGAGAGCCCACATCAAAACTGCCGTAAGTCCTCCCAAGTTCAGTCTTAGACATAAATGGAAGCCCATTAATGTGTGGGAGTCTGTCTGGTGTTACTGAAGGATGTGTGTAGGAAAGAAAGTCTGAGCTGTGATAATGGGAGCAAGTTAAAGATTGAGGAAAAAAACCTTGTTGGTTTTGCCAATTAAAGACTGCACACAAGGAATGATGGGGAAAAGATTATGATCTCAGATATCACCATTTGTCTGCAGAGACACCGAATCCTAAAAACATGTTAATCTGAGCTCTGTTGTCCTGTTCAGTTGTGGCCTGCGGAGGAGAGCTCTGGCTGCAAAGAGGAAGCTTCCAGCACAGCTTGTGTCCTCCCCCTCTTGTTCAGCCTGCTTTGAAGGGTAACTGCTGCCTAACAGCTGAAGGCAGGAGCAGCTGCCTTGTGGTTTCTGCTCAGTTATCTTCACATGTTTCTTCTGCAGGTCCAAGAACAGGGGAGGAGAATTGCAATGTCAACAATGGTGGCTGTGCTCAGAAATGCCAGATGGTGCGAGGGATGGTGCAGTGCACTTGCCACACAGGTTACAGGCTCCTGGAAGATGGCCGATCATGCCAAGGTGGGTTTTTGGAGCAGTAGCCTCCTCCCTGCTGCTTTGGTATGTTTGAAATTAGTGGCTATGATAGGGTGAAAATCAGAGTATGAAAGTAGATGCAATCTACCAGTGAGATTTTTGGGTTTGTTGATGATCTATCTAATGGTAACTTTCTCTGTAACATGCAGATGTGAATGAATGTGCTGAGGAAGGCTACTGCAGCCAAGGCTGTACCAACAGCGAAGGAGGCTTCCAGTGCTGGTGTGAGCAGGGCTACGAGCTGCGCCCTGACAAACGTAGCTGCAAAGCTCTAGGTAAAGGGGAGTTCAACCTAACAACACAACTGGTGTGTGTCTGTTGGTCCAGTTCTCATAATGATGTCTTTAGTGCTTCACTGGCAGCATTGTGCTGTTCACAAACAAACCTGTGAAGGAAAGGAAGTACCTGTACTTGTGTTAGATATGCCCACACTGTTGATAAGTGTTTGTGAAAATTTTGCGTGATTTTGACCATGGAGAGAGGTACTACACTGTTTCCTTTCCCTGCCAGGGAGATGATCCTTCCTTTTCTTCCTAGTCCTTTGTCATTTCTTGTGACTCAGAACCTGGGACAAAACAAGCTTTCTGTCTCTGTTCAGGAAGTGTCTTAGCTTTTTTAAAGATACCTATACACTTCTTTAACTTTATTCCTCCTCTAATGTAGGAGCTGAGGAATTAGAAATTTCACTTAAAGACTTTAGATTTCATTAGGAATTCCCCTAGTGATATCCATAAAGGATGTTAATATTTTGAGGATGGTTTTTTGCAGTGGAAATGTCTGCTGAGTTTATATCGGGCTGAGGAAGATTTCAACTGTGTCCTGTCTGTAGTAGAAGGTGTAGTAGAGCATGTGTGTTTGCATGGCTAGGAAATGCATATAGGAAAAAGAAACTCTAGTCCAGCTGCCATGCGGCTGTCCAGTGATGTAGTTTCAGAGGCTGAGGGGAGGCAGGCTTAGGTAGGACCTGGAATGATTGCTTCTTGCTGAGTTAATGTTTGCCAGAAGGTTTAAAACTGCTCATCTTTGAGTTAGGACTATGTATAGAGGATGTAAAAACACTCTCTGAAGTGTTTTGCATTTGAGGGTTGATTTCTGCTGCCAGTACTGCAAAACTCTGTTCTGGGACTTGGTGCAGAGGGAATGGTAGACAGGACCCAGTCAAATGCTGTCAAATACTCCAATGCTGTCTTCCCGTATATTCTTAGGGCCAGAGCCCGTGCTGCTCTTTGCCAATCGAATTGATATCCGACAAGTGTTGCCTCATCGCTCTGAGTATACACTGCTTCTGAACAACCTGGAAAATGCCATTGCCCTTGATTTCCACCACAGCAAGGAGCTGGTGTTCTGGTCTGATGTCACGCTTGATCGCATCATGAGGGCCAATCTGAATGGTAGCAATGTGGAAGAGGTGGTTTCCACAGGGCTGGAGAGCCCAGGTGCGTGACTGCAAAAAAGGCAATGGTATAGGGTGGGTGAGTGGAGGAGAGTGGGGACCCAGCATTCAGAACAAAGTGCATCTCCCTGAGGAAGGTTATGGGTTGGATGGAATGGGTGTTAGGTCAGTGTCCCACCGGAGTTAATCTTGGCTGGCAGAAGAAGAAACTGGGCCTCTTCTGAGGTGGACAGAGAAAAGGATCTATTTTTCTGTGCAGATCCATGGTTTCATTCTGTACTTAATTCTGTCTTATACATAGGTGGACTTGCTATTGATTGGATTCATGACAAATTATACTGGACAGACTCTGGGACATCTCGAATTGAGGTAGCAAACTTGGATGGCACTCACAGGAAAGTGCTTTTGTGGCAGAACCTGGAGAAGCCCCGAGCAATTGCCCTACATCCTGTGGAGGGGTGAGTGAAAATATGGGAAACCAGGGGGAAACCCCAGTGAGCTCTCCATGTACATGCTTTTTGTTGAACATAAAACCCCATTCTTGGTCGCAAAGGTTACCTCAAGACCAAGACTTGAGTTGGCACTGACAGTTTGGGGAACCTGGCAATGTTGGGACCCTGCAGAGCCTTAATCCTGCTCTGGGCCCTTCAACTTTCAGCAGGCTGGTTGTTACTTTTCACTTCTCACATGGCTGTGACCCAGTCTCATGCTCGAGGTCGCAGGACTGATGTTGCTTTGCCCTGATAGGGAGTGATACTGGGTGCAGTATGTGGGCCACAAGTTTTCTAGCTGTCTCTCCCTGTCTCCTCCAGTACTATCTACTGGACTGACTGGGGCAACACTCCCCGCATTGAGTATTCCAACATGGATGGCTCTAATCGGCGCATCATTGCGGATACACACCTCTTCTGGCCCAATGGACTAACCATTGACTATGCAGGACATCGAATGTACTGGGTGGATGCCAAACATCACGTCATTGAGAGGGCTGACCTTGATGGACGCAATAGGAAGGCTGTTATTAGCCAAGGTAAGTAACAGGCTTTCTCCAGGGAGTGCTTTCTGCAATAAAGACCACAGAGTAGCACAGTGCTGATCTGAGCTTGAGACACTGGCTCCTGCGTCTGTGCTTGTCTCCTCTTCTTTCACTGTGGAATGAATTCTGTCACCATTGAGGGATGGAGTTTGCCATCCAGTCATCAGTGGCTGAAACAAAAGCAGGTTGAGGGAGGTGAGTCTGCTCTTGTGAGACTCCAGCTGGAATGCTGCCTCCATCTCTGGGGCTCCAAACATAAGAAGAATATGGAACTGTTGGAGGAAGTCTAGAGGAGGGCCACAAAGTTAATAAGAGGATTGGTGCACTCCCCTACAAAGGCTGGAAAGAAAGTTGGGGCTGCTCAGCCTTGAGAGGAGAAGGTTGTGTGGAGACCTCATTGCAACCTTCCAGTATCTGAAGGGAACCTACCAGGAAGCAGGAAGGGGACTCTTGATCAGGAACTGTAGTGTTAGGAGAAGAAGTACTGGATACAAATTAAAAGAGGGGAAATTCAGGTTAGGTATTAGGAAGACATTTTTCACTTGTGAGGTTAGTGAAGTGGTGGAACAGGTTGCCCAGGAAGGTTGCAAAGGAGGTTGCAAATGCCCCAGCCCTGGCATTGTTCAAAGCCTTGAGCAACCTAGCCTCGTGGGAGGTGTCCCTCCCTGCCTATGGTGGGGGGATTGGGACTAGATGATCTTTAAAGCCTATTCCAGCCCCCTAATGTTCTATCTATGATTATAGGACAGCAGAGAGGAATTGTCTGTTAAATTAGTGTAAAGTATATTTGAGCAGGTTGAGTGTGGTGAAGCCTAAGGGGCAGTGAAAAGAGCATTCCTTTGTCTCCCTGCTAGCCTGAGTCATGTTAGACGTGATCATATTCCTGTATTGGATGTCTATTGCAGGGCTCCCACACCCATTTGCTATCACTGTGTTTGAGGACAGTCTGTACTGGACAGACTGGCACACCAAGAGCATCAACAGTGCCAACAAATTCACAGGCAAGAACCAGGAGATCATCCGTAACAAACTCCACTTCCCTATGGACATCCACACGCTGCATCCTCAGCGTCAGCCAGCAGGTAACTGCAGAGCGGGTAGAAACTCATTTGAGCCAGTAGAAGACCCGGAGCCGCCCACTCCCTGTAAAGCCGGGAGATGACATCCTGAACCCAGCATGTGGATGAACCCCCCACCTGTGCCCGGGGCTGTGGCAGAACTTGCTCTGCCGCCCCCGCGTTGAGGTCGCTCGGCCGGTACCTCGGAGTTGGGTGTTACCGCAGCTCCCCCTGCTGACACCGGGGGTGGAGGCCTTTCAGTAGGAAATACTGGGGGCTTGTTTACACAAGAGAAGTTTTGGGACGGGGAAAAATCGTAAGTGGACGTCATGATGACTGACATCTTCCTTACTCCTCTTCAGTTGATATTATCTGCTCTCGAAGTGCATTGAGTTAAATGTTCATTTTAAAATTGAGCCCTAAAAATTGAGTTAGTTTATATGTTTCCTTATTTTCAATTAACTTCTGGATTGGGAAGTTATATCCATGTGGTCTTGACACCTCAGCTAGTGTTTTTCCTCATTTCTTTACTCTTTGCTTTATGTGTGGTTGCTCTTGTCTTTGGCTACTTGAGCAGGGAGAAACCGTTGTGGGGACAACAACGGAGGCTGCACGCACCTGTGCCTGCCGAGCAGCAAGGATTACACCTGCGCCTGCCCCACGGGCTTCCGCAAGACCAGCAGCCATGCCTGTGCCCAGAGTAAGTGAGGTGGGACCACGTGCTCAGATCTTCAGTGGGTGGCAGAGGGCTGGCAGTGGGACTAAGCATCAGCAGTACTTGCTTCCAAGGAAATGCAGCTGGATAGACTGAGATAGAAGTATTAAGGGTCCTGCCAGAGGATGCTTCACCTTTTTGATGCATTCCCCTGTTCTGTATTCTCACTGCCCTCACTAGGCTTCATGGGTGGGGAAGCAGACAAATTCTACCCTTTGTCCTTATTTCAAGGCTGCTATTGGGACCATGCTACCTGGCACAGCTAATTGTTTTTCTGAAATTCTCATAATGGCTGTGTCAGTGATGAACAAAAAAGTCCTCATCATTGCCACATTTCTTAGTTTGCAGCTATGTGAAAGAACTTGACCAACTATCTCCCAGATTCTCGAGAGCTATTTTAAAATAGCTATTTGATTTGGAGGGATGTCTGTGCCATCCTTTGAAGAATATGGTTGCCCTTGTTCCCTCAGCATAGATTACACCCCAGAAGAGAGCTCACAACCACTCTGACCCCCCCCTTGCCCATCCTCTCTCAGTGGTATTTTGCTTCCAGTAAAAAAAAGACCAAAGGCCTGCCAGTGAGAGATGATGTAGGTAGTTAAGGTTGTGGATGTAGCTGGGAATTGTCTGTCTATCACATTATTGTTGAACTTAGAGAAATTAAAAGAAGACCTTTCGACCTTTGATCAGGTCTTGACAAGTTCCTGCTTTTTGCCCGAAGGATGGACATCCGTCGGATCAGCTTTGACACAGATGACCTGTCAGATGATGTCATCCCCCTTGCTGATGTCCGCAGTGCTGTGGCTCTAGACTGGGACTCAAAGGATGACTATGTCTACTGGACAGATGTTAGCACTGACTCAATCAGCCGAGCAAAATGGGATGGATCGAACCAGGAGGTACAGTGTTCACTGTGTGTGGAGGTCATCTGGCCAGGAGACTCCTGGAACATCAGATTTGAAGCCACTGGGATACACTGGCTTTTTAAGGCGCTGCAGTTCATGGTGGATCTTTTGTTGATTAGTTTGCCTAGTTCTGACAAACTATTGAGATCGCTGCACACAACATAAACAATTGGAGGCATGGAGAGCCTTGAATGGGGACATGAAGCATGGCCATTTGTGGGCTTTGTTCAATTCCTTTGTTGTAGCCCTAGAATCTGAAAGGAAGAAGTATTAAATCCTCTATTACGTTCTATGTTTGGAATGAGAATCATGCTCTTTGGAAATGCTTTCTGCACACACTTCTAGGCTGGTGGTGCTATAAACAAGGCAAACAGAGTTCAAAGTTTGGATTTGCAGTTTGTACAGGCACAAAAAAAAAAAAAGAAATTTCTCCAAATAAAACCCTTATTCGGACTTCAAAGTCCTTAATGTTCTCTTGTATGGCATTGCTCTGCTCAGGCTTTTGCCTTTTGAAAGTTAACATTGTTTGTGAATGGGTAGTGCATTGGACAAGTGCTTTGTCCCTAAGGTCTAATTTCACTAAGGATTTTTTCTTTATGTTTTCATTCAGGTTGTGGTGGACACCAGCCTGGAAAGTCCAGCTGGACTTGCAATTGACTGGGTCACCAACAAACTATACTGGACTGATGCAGGTACTGGGATCCTCTGCTTTACATAGACTTCTGTCTTCCTTATTAGTCATGAAAGCTGAAAATCAGCTGGGTAGTTCTGTCTGTTTCATTCCAAATTTGTCTAATTTCTGTGTAGCAGAAAGATGGAGTTTCATGTCATGTGCTTCTTACTGAGTGTGAATTGAGGAACAACTCATAGTTTAATTCTCTTTGCAGTATCCCCAGTACTAATTCTACAAAAACATTTGTCACTGGTGTCTTGCTGCCGAGCTTGTGATTGTGTGCATTTATGTATCTTCCATCAGTGTATCTTGGGGTGCAGCAGGTCATACTTGGAACGTGTTCCCTGCTCATAGTCATAGTTAAGAGAGATGTAAGGAAGATTATTCTTTTCTAGCTGTTCTCTCATGGTATGGGGGCTTCGGTAAGAGGTGGATTATATACAGGATTCCACATCAGTGACAGCCACAGAGGTGACTTTAGAGGATGGAAAGTGACACTTTAAGCCAGATTTCTTACCTATCTTCCAGCTAAGAACACAGATAGATATAGGGGAAGAATGCACTGTTGTATGGAGGTTTTTTTGCCTTAGCTCTTGCAATTCAAATTTCATCTCTGTTATTTTCTCTCTCAACTTTTGTAGGAACAGATCGGATAGAGGTGTCCAATACAGATGGGACCATGAGAACTGTTCTAATATGGGAGAACCTAGACAGACCTAGAGATATTGTAGTGGACCCTGTTGGAGGGTAAGAGAGTCTTTCTTCTGGGATGATATAACAATTTTTGCATGTCTAAAGACTTTCTGGTTCTTTGGTTTTGTACCATTTTCTTTCTCACTGGTGCCATTGTTCTACAACCTGCTAGTGACTGAAACTAGAGACATGAATTTAGATGCTAATAGAACAAGTTAAGCAGAGGTAATTCCTGTTGTGCTGTGGAGCTTGCAGGAACTGGCTGGTGTTTTCATTTGTTTATCCTGGGGATGTAATAACTAAAGATGTGGTATGAAAATGTTGAGAATGGGGCCATCTAGATTTTTCTATTTCTGTTGCGCATATATGTTGAATTTGTATTCAAGCTCCCTGCTTATTGACTTGAGTTTCAGTCAGAAGTATGTTCTCAGACCTTTTGGAGATGGGGATAGGGTGGGTAGGAAAAAGCTCGCCAGCAATTGCTTTAGAAGTGTTTAATGTCTTGAATGAAAGAGTGCTATTCTTTCCTTGAGTGGATTACTGGAAGACAAATACAGCAAGAGTGTAAATGGCTAGTGGTGTACATTGCTAAATAATCAGTTAATTTTTAGACTTCGACCTATTTTCTTGAATTTTTTTCCTACACATTGTAATTGGGCCAGCCCATGGGCAGTAGAAGGTCTATAAATTTGAGTATGATCTTAGGTACATTACAAGAACCCAAGGCTGGACACCAGAACACTAATACTTTAATGCTTCTGCTAGAGTCTGAAAGCACCAGAGTCACTTGCTTCTCTGGCAGTGAAAAAGTGTGGGCATTCACTTCTATCTGGGCTTCTTCTCAGGTTCATGTACTGGACTGACTGGGGAGCTAACCCAAAAATTGAACGTGCTGGGATGGATGCCTCAAACCGCTTGGTGATCATTTCCTCCAACCTGACATGGCCCAATGGCTTGGCCATTGACTACGAGTCACAGCGCTTGTACTGGGCAGACGCAGGCATGAAGACCATCGAGTATGCCAGTCTGGATGGAAGCCACAGGAAGGTAAGGAAGCCGTCTTTGAGGAGCAGCTCTGGGAGTCTGAACACAAAGTAATGATGCTTCCTGCCTCTTTTTCCAATGGAAAGGAAAATTTACAAATCAAAGTACATGGTGGCTTTTACTGAGAGAAAAGAACTCCTTTTCAATTTGAAGCTGTGTGAGGGAAGTTTGAGGGCCAAGGTTGCCTCATCATTCTCCTTTTGCTGTGATTGTATGTTATGATGTTGAGAGGGAGCAAGGAAAGCCTCTTCTCCTTAGTGACTTCATAGTCACTTATATATATATGTATATAAAATATTTTTTTAAAGGATTTTAATTTATATAATATTTTTCTTTGGGTGATGGGGGTAATCTGAGCAGGTGCTGATTGGGAGCAATCTGCCTCACCCCTTTGGACTTACTCTTTATGGCGAGAGAATCTACTGGACAGATTGGCAGGCCAAAAGCATCCAGAGTGCAGATAGGAGAACTGGGCAGTCTCGGGAAACACTGCAGGACAATCTGGAGAATCTTATGGATATTCATGTTTTCCACCGGCACAGGCCACCAGGTACAGAGCTCACACCCAAGCCCCACTGAGCTGAGAGCTTGCTCAGGCTCTGCCATGTGGCATGTCTTTTCTGCAAGCAGCTGACCTGTCAGCTCTCATTGTCTTAAGTGTCTGCGTGGAGTAAGAGAACGTGAGAATTAACTCTTGACTTGGCATTTGAGGGCATTCTACAATGTGTTTCTATAGCTGCTGCATCTCTTTTTTGTGCCAGTGCTGCTGGCTCATGGATTTCTCATCCTCTTTTCTGTAGTACATACAGCATGTGAAGTTAACAATGGGGGCTGCAGTCACCTGTGCCTTTTGGCACCTCTTCCAAAAGGCTACAGCTGTACTTGCCCCACAGGGATCAATCTGCAATCTGATGGCAAGACCTGCTCCCCTGGTGAGTGTTCTCTGTAGAATCCTCATTGCAGTTTTGTATCAGAGCTACATTTTGCCTCTGCCGTGTTAGAGAAAAAATTTCACTTTTATGTGCTTACCTGCTTTATGCCTTGAAAAACCCATTTGGTGCTTGTACCTTCAATTTGAGTGGGAATTACTGTGAAGAAACTTACTGATAAATGGATTGATGAAGGAGACATTTTTCTTGAAATTATGTTGGCCAAGTAAACCAAACATCACATTTTTTCCCAGACTTTTGCCCTAATATTGAGGTGAATTCTTAAACTACAAGGTGATATATTCTTAATAGGTCTGTATACACTCCTCCTGTTGGACCACTTCTGTGGATGGTGGAAGGCACTTGGCTTCAGGCCATAGTACATCCACTTTTCCTTCCTAGGAGACAAAAAATGACTCCTAATTTACATTTCCCACACATATTAGCAGAAGTAACTCTTCTGTGAGTGTTATGCCTTTCAACTTGGATGTAAAGAAGCATTAAGTGATGCTCAAAAAAGTGATGCTTTTGTACACAGACTGTCCATAAGCCAAGATCTATCTAAAACACTTTTCCTTTTCCACTGAAGTGGTTGTAAACTCTAGAATACTTGATCAATTATGCCTACACTTGACTGAACTTGTTCCTCACTAATATGTGTCCATTGTCCACTCTGCAGGAATGACCAGTTTTCTGATCTTTGCCAGAAGGACTGACATCCGAATGGTTTCTCTGGATATCCCCTACTTTGCAGATGTTGTTGTCTCAGTCAATGTCACCATGAAGAACACCATTGCAATTGGAGTGGATCCTCATGAAGGTTTGAACTTCTTACTGTATCTGGCTGTGTTTGAAAGGCAACAAGTAACTTCCTATCTAAATGCCTGAGTAAAGACCCAGCCACAGATCTTACTGTAGGCTGTGGATTTGGGTAGGTTTTTATTTTCCTTGTATGTGCTGCAGATAATTTGTTTCCAGTGAGGAAAGGAATATCCTTAGAGGAAAGCAGAGAACCCAAACTATTTGAAAAAAAACCTGCCTGCAATATTGAGTAGGTCCCTCTGCATTTTGGATTTAAGAAAGTTCCTCTTGCTGAGGCCTTTTACAACAGTAGAGCTGAGATGCTGGTTGCTCATGTATAGTAAACATCTGATGCTGTGCTGGATGTAAACACTGTTGCACTGTAAGGTAGATGATCTCATTTAGAGAAGTCAGATGTGGAGCTCTACTACTAGCTGATGGTATTAGGTGTTCTCCGTGTGAAGGTCAGATCTTCTGTAAATGTCCTACATATTTTGGGGAGAATTTGCATTGTTTTATCACTCTAGCTTAATAATCTTGTGCTCTTATTATTCCTGTACAATCAGGTCCAGTTTGAATGGTGTAGCAGGTAGTCAAACACATGGATCTGGTTTTTAAGGATTTTGCTATTTGGTTGTTGGGGTTTGGTTTGGTTTTGTTCTGGGCTTTTTCAAATTTCTCTTTCTTCTTCAACCCAGGAAAGGTTTACTGGTCAGACAGCACATTGCGGAAAATCAGTCGCGCTGCCCTTGATGGCTCACAATTTGAGGACATCATCACTACAGGTGAGGGAGATTTTGATCTGAGAGCCTCTTGCTTCTTTGCAGTATGAAAAGAGAGATTCACTGATACACTGGTAGAATACATTTTTGGTGGAAAGGCAAGCAAAACCTAAAGAAGTTGCCTATGAGATGGACAAGAGAAATACTAGAAATTCCTGACTAAATTGGGAGAAAAAGCAGTGACCAAAATGTTTTGCTATTTTCTCAGGTCTGTTGACTACAGATGGGCTGGCTGTGGATGCTATTGGCAGGAAGATATATTGGACAGATACAGGAACAAACCGGATTGAAGTGGGCAACCTCGATGGCTCCATGAGGAAAGTCTTGGTCTGGCAGAACCTGGACAGCCCTCGGGCAATAGCTTTATACCATGAAATGGGGTTAGTGTTGTCAAGAGATTGTCCAGGAGTTACACAGGACTTCTGATCTCCTTTTCCGTAATACTTGCTGACTTTTCCCCAGGTATATGTACTGGACAGACTGGGGTGAGAATGCCAAGCTGGAACGCTCTGGGATGGATGGCTCTGCACGTGTGGTGCTCATCAGCAACAACTTGGGCTGGCCTAATGGACTGGCAGTGGATAAGGCTGGGTCCCAGCTGCTCTGGGCTGATGCACATACAGAGGTCTGATTCTGTTCTTCAGTGTTGTTTATCATTGGGTATTTGGTAGCTTGGAGGCTGCTTTGAAGGTCTTGAGCAAGTTGTCAAAAGAGCAAGGTTTTCTGAGAGTATGGGCTATGGAGGGAGGGTGAACCTGAATAACATCACTTGCTGAGACTGTTTCCCACTTGCTACAATAAGTGCTAGCAAGAGAAGAAGTGTTTTGAGTATGGGCTGACGTTCTGCTTCTTCCCGTAGCGGATCGAGGCTGCGGACCTCAATGGCGCGAACCGCCGCACCCTGCTGTCTCCGGTGCAGCATCCCTATGGCCTCACTTTGCTGGACTCTTACATCTACTGGACTGACTGGCAAACTCGCAGCATTCACAGGGCTGACAAGGACACTGGTGCTAATGTCATCTTGGTGAGGGCAAACCTGCCTGGCCTCATGGATATTCAAGCTGTTGACAGGGCACGGCCCCTGGGTAAGTTGCTTCCCAGTTGGCGGATGGTGGTGGTGGCGAGGGGAGTCCTTCTGAGCTGTCATTGGAAACAGTCCTTTGGTGTAAAGCAGGAGTGATAGAGGGACTTCCCAAAAATCAGCTTTTCTTCCGATGCCTTCTTTTAAGGCATCGCTTCTTCCCTCTTTAACTAATTTTGCACTCCTCCCTGTTTACCCAGCTCTGTAGGTCTAATGTTGATTACTGCATGCCTTTTGACTCCTTTGTCCCATTTCCTTCATTGGATTGCACTGACAACCTCATTCTTGCACACAGCAGAGCCACTTTCTTAGGACAGCCGAACAAGTCATGCCTTACTAGGCTTCGCCAGACTGTACTGACACTGGACAATTTCCCTTCTTTAACTCCAGAAGACTCTAATTCTTCTTAAACCAGTTGCTGAAATATTACTTCAAGCTTTAGTATTATTTCCCAATCACTGCAGGCTTCATCTTCTTGTCTGCCTCTTTGCTCTGTAAAATCTCTGCTGCTTTAGTTGCTCTTAATGTATCATGTTGTCCAACTATTGTGTGCCAGAGTCAATTCTTTGTTACTCTTTGGGGATCCTATAACACCCTATCTTGCCTCCTTGCTTTTCAGTGGAAGTTGTTGCTTTGTGCTGTGGTTTTATTTCTGTAGAATTTCCCCAATACAGTTTTCTATAGAAAACTCTGCTGCTTTTCCTGTGGTTACTAACAGCAGAACATCACTCCTGATTGCATAACTTGGCAACATAACTTAAAGCTCACCAAAAGTCTAGCCATCATATCCACATTGTCTTCTTCCTACTCCCTGCACCTGTCTTCTGGGCTTATTCCCTCCTAGTAAATGTATGCTGGGTTCTTTGCAATTTAAAAAAAAAAAAATTATATGACCCTAATATGTCAGGCATTTCCAGCAGGCTTCTCTGATGCCTTTGTTTACTTGCCACTGTGTGCGGCTAAGTTGAAACAGAAGCTTCTTTGTCAGCCTGGCCTCTGGTACATTGTCACACTATTTCCCTACAGGGTTGGGTCTTTCTGTCAGCATTACCATTTGTAGCAGTAATAAAGTTAAACTGCAGTTGCATAAGTTTGAGAGCATTTAGCTGTTTCTTTTTCCCTGGGAAAACTATGATTAGCAAGGAATGCAGGTTAAGATTTTTCTTCTAATGATCCCTCTTCTTATGGACCTTCCTGTTCTCTTTGCCAGTCATGCCCATACCTACTGTGAATCTTGCAGAGGGGGGAGAGCATCTCTATACAAAGGGCTGTAGATTCCCAGCAAGGCTGGGATGGTAAGGATGAACTCAGCTGCTAGCAAGTTGTGCATGTACGTAGCCTTTAAAGTAAAGCTTTGGTCTGTGAGATCCTAAAACTACGCTTTCCCTGTTTCTAAAGGCTTCAATAAATGTGGAGTTCGTAATGGTGGCTGCTCCCATCTTTGCTTACCTCACCCCACTGGTTTCTCCTGTGCCTGCCCCACTGGCATCCAGCTGAAGAGAGATGAGCAGACATGTGACTCTTCTCCAGAGACCTACCTACTTTTCTCTAGCCGTGCTTCCATCCGTCGTATCTCGCTGGACACCAGTGACCACACAGATGTGCACATACCTGTCCCTGAGCTGAACAATGTCATTTCTCTGGACTATGATAGTGTGGACGGCAAGATTTACTACACAGATGTATTTCTTGATGTTATCAGGTAGGTGCCAGTGAGCTGCTTGGCCAGTGCCCAGATCACCCAGTGATTTGTGCTGAGTGTGCCAATAAACTGGGGAGACTGAGCACTACTCCAGTACTTACACCTTGTCTTTGGTACACAGCATCATTCTGAAGGTGTGCTTAACCTGCTGGAGACAGGGGCAAAAGTATTATTACTTTTTAGGAGGTATTAGTATGCAGTGGCCCTGTGATTGATGGAGATCCAGCTTTCCAGGAACTACCAGTTCCTCACTGCCCTTTGTCATTGATTTTGATCCAGGCGGGCTGATCTGAATGGCAGCAACATGGAAACTGTTATTGGTCAGGGTTTGAAGACTACGGATGGCCTGGCAGTGGACTGGGTTGCCAGGAACCTCTACTGGACAGATACAGGACGCAATACCATCGAAGTGGCTAGATTGGATGGAAGCTCCAGGAAAGTGCTGATCAATAACAGCCTGGATGAACCTCGAGCCATTGCTGTCTTTCCCAAGAAGGGGTAGGTATGGGGTTTGTGGTGGGGCAGGGGGAAGGGCTGCACAGAGGCAAGCTGGAAGAGGAGGTTGTGGAAGGAAGAAGAGATGTGCCATGTGAATCTGCAGGTACCAGTAAGAGGTTGACTTTGAGTGACTCGTAGTAGTGAGGCAGACAATGAATTTGAAGGTTGGGCAGATAGCTGCGAGAAGCAGGCTACAGACTATATTATCCTTTTTGAACCTGAAGAATCTGGCAGTTTCATTCATAACTAAGACTTTCCTTAGGCCGAGTGAAATGGTCTTTTCTTCTTACACTTGCCTTTTATCTCTTCAGGTATCTCTTCTGGACAGATTGGGGTCACATTGCTAAAATTGAACGGGCAAATTTGGATGGCTCTGAACGTAAAATCCTGATTAACACTGACCTAGGATGGCCCAATGGATTGACTTTGGATTATGACACCAGGAGGTCAGTGAAAGATTTTCCTGTACTTGCATAGGGTTAAGGGATGTAATGAATTTTTTAGCACTCTTAGCTTTATTTATTGGAGTAGCACTGTGGGTTTGGGTTTGATTTTGGGGTGTTTTGGGGCTTTCTTCTATAGCTTTTATTTCCTGATTCATGTTATGATTCCATGATCTTGGTCAGCAAATGACTAGAAAGTAAAGAGAGGTTGTATAGGTGGAAGCTCACCTCTTTCCCTGTGCCTTCAGGATATACTGGGTGGATGCTCACCTTGATCGCATAGAGAGTTGTGACCTCAACGGGAAGCTACGACAAGTGCTGGTCAGCCAGGTGTCACATCCCTTTGCTCTGACACAGGTGAGAAGATTTTTCTGCTGTCACCATTCTCCCTGGTATATTGATGAGTTTGTACAGTGGAGTTGGGGAACAGGGAAATGTTACAGTCTGAGGAAACCAAGATGGCTGAGGGGATAATACTTAAATCTTCTCTGGAGCTAACAAAGGAAGTTTGTCTGAACTGTGGGGTGTAGACAGTCATCTTCTTTACAATAAGAGGGTAAGGGTTTGGAAAGGCCTTTGTTTTGGGCCTTCTGCCACTGGGATGTGTTTTTTATGGATACCCTGTGTCTATATGACTAAATATGCTAATAATGGCTGTGATTTTTCTTTGCTGTCTCCCTGAGCAGCAGGACAGATGGATATACTGGACTGACTGGCAAACAAAATCTATCCAAAGAGTGGACAAATACTCTGGGCGGAACAAAGAGACGGTCCTAGCCAATGTTGAGGGATTGATGGATATCATCGTGGTTTCTCCTCAGAGACAGACAGGTAAATAGAAGGACCTTGATTCAGGCAAATTCTGATTGTAGACCAAAAGAACTCTAGAACCACTGCACTATTATGGATGTCAAGTAAGGATGACATCCTTTTTTATGCTCAAACTATTCACGCATCTTCCCTTAGCTCATTCCTTGTCTGCCTGTGACTTTTCAGTCAAGTACGTATTAAAGGTTTTCTGTTAAAGCTTTGATTAGCAAATGTCACTTTCTTGTTGTTCACCCAACATTGTGTTAAAGCAGAAGAATGTGAGGTTTTGGTTTTGTTTTTTCTTTTTTTTTATCTCTGCAACTGTGTTGTCTGGGCTTCTGTCTAAAGATTTCCAGTACCTTCCTTTCAAGACTGCCCTAGTCCAATTCAGTGTTTGGTTATTGTCATCAATTTTAGCAATCAGATGACAGGCATATGCCAAAAACAAAATAACTTGCTGGATTTCTAAGAAGTATTTCTGGCTGAGCAGCAAAGAAGGTTGTTGCTCTGAGCCCCTTTTTGTTCAGATGTAACATATTTAGAAAATTGTTTGTTCTTTCCAGGTAGTAATGCTTGTGGAGTGAACAATGGAGGCTGCACTCACCTCTGCTTTGCCAGGGCTTCTGACTTTGTCTGTGCGTGTCCGGATGAGCCAGATGGGCGGCCCTGTTCTACGAGTGAGTTTACTGAGTGTCAGTTGGGTAGTAGCTTCCATAAGTGAGCCACTGCCACTGCTAATGCAGTGGCAACCAGAGCAGCTGAGGCTCTCCAGTGTATAGATCTTATGCAGTCATATATTGGAACTGAGGCCAGTGGTTGGGAGTAAGCATTCTTGATCTTTCTGCTGACAGACTGGATTTGAGAAGGGAAGGCTGCTCATATAAGCTATAGAGAGTTTTGGAAATGGCCTATCAGACTTATCTGTCCCACAAAGTTGGAGTCCTGCTTATTTTTCTCTCTTGTTCTAGTTCCTGGTGTGGTGCCCTCTGGTCCAGAACCAACCCGTGTAAGTGAGAGAAGTCAAACACCGCCTGGCAGACTAGGTACTTCAACAACCAAACCTCTCACATCTCTGGAAACAGTGGAAGGAAAGTAAGTGTTCTTGTTCTCTTGGAATTGGGGTGGGAAAGTCCCAGCTTTTGCAAGGTTCTACATGGAAGCCCCCTCTGGTTACAATCATCTGAATATGTCTATCCCTAGCCAAAAGAGGATATTCCAGCTCCAGATTTCACATTTTTAATGACTGAAACTATTATGTCAAAGATGCAGTTGAGACGGCAAAGAGCCATTGTTGAGATGGCAAGAAACAGCTGGAAATCCTTTCTGTCCATGTTGTTGAAATATGTGTGTGGGCTGACTGTACTGAAGTGTTAAAATCCACCTTTAGCTGATGTGTCATAATTTGATTGATTTTTGAATCTCCTAATTTTGAGAACCTATTTCTGAGAGGAGGACAGAGGAGTCTGTTGCTTCAATTCACTGAAACATCTCAGACTAGACCCACACAGCTGAGGAAATGGTTCTGCCCTGGGAAGGGGATAGCTTGCTTGGGGCAGAACAGAATCTTTGCAGCTCTAACATTCAATTTACAATGCAAGTAGTTAAGAGACTCTTTTCTGCTAATTCCCTACAGCCTACTATTTATACAGCTCAGCAAAAGAGTGGTTCTATAGTATATGGTTGAGTTATTTAGAGAGCAAAACTTGCACTTTGTTGAGTATGATTTATTGGACAGAAATGTCTTCATGCTGATTCTAAGACATTTTGATTTTTGCTTCAGCACTGCTGCTGCAATTTGTTTCCTGAAAAATATGAGTACACCTGTGTACCCGAGAGGCAAATCTAGAATTAATTGGATATAAAGATACTGCAAACCAATACTTGATATATCCATGCACACCACCTGTATGTGTAGTTGTCTCTTCTCTGGTTGCAGAATACTGAAGAAGAAAAAGGAAGACATGTGTTTTTTAAGTGGAAAGGGAAGGGATATCAGTGCTAGCCCATTCCATCCTGTTTTTTGATACCTTTGTTACTGTTGATTCTATTTTCAGTAAATAACTGTCCTTCTGTCATTCAGCTGCTCTGACAAAGATGCCAGGCAAGGCTTGTGTACTCATGCCAATGAGGCGGTGTTGGCCACCATGGGTGAGTTGCTTTTCTTTAACTCTTCTCCACCAGAGTTGTTCCTCCAGATGTGCTCAGGCATTCCAGTCCATAGTGTCTGAAACTAAAATTTCTGAAATTCAGACTTAAATTACTCCAATGCCCTCTGAGTAGAGCAAAATGCCTCTGTAGACATTCATTAACCTAGATGGGGACTTTTCCAAGTGACTCCTTGGTCTGAAGAATTGTTCTGTTTTCTTTCATCCTATACCTCATCCACTGGGCTCTTCCCATTAATAGTACTCTATTTCACTGTCCCCTTTGTGTTTAGTTGTAGATGGTTGACTGTAGTAATTGCTTCCCAATGCAGGAGTAACCTGTCAGCAAGTAACCTGTCATGTAACTCCTCCATTACAGCCCCATTACAAAGATCTTGACACTTATTGATTTGCTGGGGCCTGGGTGGGAGGAAAGTTGACCATATGTTTGTTTCATATGAAGCCAAACAAAACCCTTTGCTAAACATTAATGTGCTGACGTTTTAGTTTACATACTTCTGTATGGGTAAAGCCCCAGCATCAGGCATTACACCAAGGTCAGTATTACCCAGTGAAATATAAAAGTGCATAAATTACCCTTGGTATTCACTTTCAGGAGAAGGACTGCATGTCAGCTACATTATTGGAGGTCTTCTCAGCATCTTGTTTATTTTGCTGCTTATCGCTGCTTTAATTATATATAGGTAAGTGATCTTTTTTCCCTCTCCTGGCCAATTGCAAACTCTTGGATTGTAGGAGAAGAAAGTCTCTGAAAGCACTAAATCTTTCTTTATTTTCATTTACAGTCCTTTTTTCCTTCATTGGAAGGAGTGTTTGATGATTTTATTTGAGGTTAGAGTCCTGTGCCTCTAAAGTGTTTGCAATGCAGTTCTACTATTTGAAACCTTATTAGCTAAATTTTCTGCAGAGAGCTTATGAGTTATGGACAGTAATATGAGATAATTCATATCTCAGTAAACGGATGAGCTTATGTGCTTTCTGACAGATAACTTCACCAGTTACTGCCATGATAGCTTTTGTGATTACATGGCAGTGCCTTGCTGTACTGGTAGCTAGTAAATGGATTCATAGCTGAAGAGCCAGGTGAAGCCAGGATTCTCTCTTTGGGGGACAGTGGAGATGGCTGAAGCCATCCACTTGCTGAGCACTCAGGAACTTTGGATCCTGGCAGTGGGTTCCTGTGACTTTTCTGACAGCTCTCTCCCTCTAGGCATAATAAGTCCAAGTTTACGGACCCTGGCTTGGGAAACCTAACCTACAGTAATCCTTCATATCGGACATCTACCCAGGAGGTGAAGATTGAATCCATTCCCAAACCAACCATGTACAACCAGCTGTGCTACAAGAAGGAGGTAAGAACTGCTACTAAGGACATGGAAGCCCAGCCCAAGCTGCTGTTATCACAGGCCTCACTAGGTGGAAGGATTGCAACTTGTGAGCATTTACCTTTAGGACACAGAAGGACAGCTTCAGTGCATTGCTCAGACTGCTATGGATATCAGCCAGCAACACTTCTTCACTAGTGAGCTGTAGTGAATTTGACCTGTCTTTAGTTCTCTGCTTCTTACCCACTCCCACAGTGTCTTGTATTTCATTTGCATTGGGTGCTGGCCCTCGAAAGTGCATGAGCCAATTTAAATTGTCTTCCTTGGATACAGGTCCTGGTTAGTGACTTGCACCAAGGTTGCTTTGGACAGTCACCAGGGGAACCAGGCAGCCAGAATGGGTTTGGTAACAAGAAAATGGCTCCTGGCTGTGCACAGCCTGAAAAGGGTGGGATAGGGGAAAAAAATAGAGCCCTTATTAAATAGAGCATTTTAAAGGCCCTTCAGAGGTCCATACTTTGTGCCACATGGTGGAGAGAGTTTAATATGATATCTTGCAGCACTTAGTTTCTCCTCTCTTTTCTCCTCAGAAGCTTTCTTATCACTCAGATAGCTTCTCATCTTCCCTGTTCTGATTTCCGTCCACATCCTCACGTCAGGTATCACTGCTCTGTGTGCTTGATCCTGCCTCCCTCACTCAAGCTCTGTTGTGTGGCTCAAGCGCTGTCCGTACTAATTGCTCTTTCTTGGTTTCCTCCCCTGCTTTTATGTCCTTAAACTAGCTCTACTGTCTGTCAGGAACATACAAGTAATTTTCTGTGGCAGATTGTTTGGTCTGGGCTTTGGCTACTCATACTCGCTGATATTTTGAACAGGCAATTTCTGTTAGGACAGTTTGTGATTATCTATTAGATTACTTGGTTCCTCTGGCAGGGATCACAGACTCACACAGGGGAAAGTTTTCCCTTACTGTTTTTTAAAGGTACTATCCAATAGATTCCCCAAATATTCAATCCATTTTAGCTTTATCTGTTAAGGATAAGCCAGGATTATTTATCTGGGAATCTAAATGCTTTCCATTTTCCCTTAATTCTGATGCTTCTTGATATCCTCAGATGTATATTTCCCCACCACCTCCACTTTCTCCTCAGGGATAGATCAGGTGCTCCTTATTTCACAGTGAGCCAAGTTACATTTCACTATTTTAATCTCAGTGTGGTCCCTTTTGCCTCTGATAATTTTTGTTGATTCCCTATAATCTCCTTCCCCTCTGCTGCTGTGAGACTTGGACTCAACAGTGGTATTCCAGCTGTGAGATGTGAATCTAGAATGACTCAGATGTAAAGATTTGCAAACCTTGAATTGATCTCCTGCCTAGTTTTACCATGAGCTTTTCTGTCTGTTTCTGCTTCCCATTTTGTTTGGTGGGGTTTTTTTCCTTCCTTTTTAGTCTCAGTGTTCTTACTTTCTTCTGTCAGGGAATATGTACAGTTGAATGAGAAGAGCAGCCTCATCCTCATTCTGCTTCCATGACTGAAGAATCAGGGAGTTTGGAATGAGAGCCCTTGCAGGGAGGACTCATCTGGGGGTGGTAAAGAACTAAAGAAAGCTTAAAATGGGTTCTGTCATTGTGGCAGTTAAAGCCAGTGGCTGTTTACATGGAGGTCCAGTTCTTTGTCTGCTTTCCTGTCTTTATTCCAGCTCTGCATTGCTCTTTGCCATATTTTTCCATAGATGTATTTTTTTCATTCATCTGTCTTCTCCCTAGACTGGTCCTGACCACAGCTACACTAAGGAGAAGATCAAGATTGTGGAGGGGATATGCCTTTTATCCAGTGATGATTCCGAATGGGATGACCTGAAGCAGATTCGGAGCTCCCGTGGAGGGATCCTCCGGGACCATGTCTGCATGAAGACAGATACGGTCTCTATCCAGGCTAGCTCTGGGTCACTGGATGACACCGAAACTGAGCAGCTGCTACAGGAAGAACAGTCTGAATGCAGCAGTGTTAACACAGCAGCAGCCACTCCTGAGCGGCGGGGCTCACTCCCAGACACAGGCTGGAAACACCAACGCAAGCCCTCCACAGAGAGCGAGGTCTAAAGTACACGTGACTTTGGAAACAGTCGTACCCTCCCTACCCTCTGCTCTGCACAGAAAAGACAGACTCTGCCTGCCTGGCAAGGAGGGGCACAGAGACCAGCCTCTCTTGCAAGGGGCCTGAGACTGGGACTGCCTTTCAGCATGGTGCCTGGGCAGCTGTGTTGTTGTGTCTGGAGAAGGAGGATGGGTGGGTTGGTTGGAACCCAGAGACCCTTTTGACTCATTTTCACTGTCTGTGGTTTATTTATATGTTCCCTTTTCCTGGAAGTTGCCGCATTAACTTTTGCAGTGACTTGTCTGGCCTGAATCTGGTTCAGAGTGTCTGTTCCCTGGCAACCTGCAAGTCCTGTGCCATCCAGCTCACGGTCAATGCCCATGAAGAGAGCAGAGCTGCCTCATTGCTGGCTCCTGGTCACAGAAGTACCCCTAGTCATTCCAGCACTAGCAGCACTCTTTGAGGCTTTGTGTTGAGGGGTCTCTGACATGAGAGAGGTCTTTTATAGATGGGATATACTTTGGGGCTCAAGAGGACACTGACACAGCATCAGGTCACCTTGTAAAGGCATAAAGAGGAGATAACCACAGCTGCTGAGACTCACTTCATGAGAGCATCACTGCTTACTTTCATATCTGCTACTAAAAACTTTAAGGAATGCTCAGATGGGAGCACTGTGTCTGTTGCTGGCAGTGGACACTGCTCCTGTTCTCCCCTTTCCCGTTAAAACATGTTTCTACTCTGGAAAAACAAGAGTCAGCAAATGCCCCTTTCAGAACTGTTCCCTGTGGGTACTGGAGTCTGAGTGCTGAATTTGAGACAAGGAGAAATTGGTATTTTACTTAGCTCTACAGGGCTAATGGGGGGAAATGGGTCTCAACAACACCTAAATTTTACTGATCTTTGCATAACTGATACTTTTATAAAAAAAGAAAAAGAAAATTTGCTAGGTCCCCACTAGTCCCAATTCTGCAAGGTCCCAATTATTTTGGCCTTTAGGACCTTTGATTACCATAATAAGGGAAAAGAGATAATTCCTAGGTCGAGTCTTTCCCAGGGGAATGCTCAGTGCTGACAGTTAGGAACTGCTTTATTACTAGGCTGAGCCCATTTGACCTAGAATGGGAGGCAATAATCAGGGAGCTGCAAAGGCCATTCTAAGTAGTTGTTTATCAGACAGAATTGCACTTTAAGTTCTTCTATTACCACTAAATAGCTCTCATTGCCAAATAATTTTTCCCATCAGCTGCATGAGCTTCAGTTCTCCCGCCTCCAAGACTCTTACCCTTTAGGGAATGTCATCCTATCCTTGCAGCCAAAACCCAGCAGCATTTGGTGCTGGGTCTTGTATGCTCCCAAGGACTATTGCCACCTCTTCATACTCTCTTGTCATCTGTTTGTTCAAAAAGAAAAAAGAGAAAATATTGCTTGACACTTCTTCAAAAACAAAATTGATATTAACCCCTCAAATCACATGGTAAAATATTAAGCATTAAGCCATATCCTCGGAAGCAGAAGTTCCCAGTGAAGAATTTCTCACTGCAAACTTTGTAACCTCTTTTATCACATGGGAAGAGGTCAAGTACATTCCCATCCATGGTGTAAAGAGAACAAAACATACACTGGGGTATGGTTCAGAGGTAGGGGGAGGGTACAACTCCCATGCAATATATTTTTCAGCTGATTAAAAAGGAGAATCATCCTACTCTGCTCGAACCTTGTTTATATGCTAACAGTCCTGCTACCCCTGAAAAACACCACAGTTGCCAGTAGTTTGCCTGTACTTTTCACAGTAGAGGTAGCTTTGTAGATAGGGGAAGATTGCAGCTTCGACCTGGCTAGGTGGCTTGAGACTCTGTCCCTAACTGCACCATTGGGCTGACTGGTGTATATTCCTGTGGAAAATGAACTGGAGCTAAGGCTTGGATTTCCCTGTGTAATGTGGGACTCTTCCCTACTCCCAGAGGGATTTATTTTTTTTCATTAGATTTTTATTTAATTATTTATTTGTTTGACTCCAGCCTTGGAAGCATTGATTTTGTTGGGCAGAGGCACTTTCGGATTGAGGTGTGGACTTGACTGGGAACTGAGAAAGGCGTGCATATCACTGACATGGATGCTGCCTATCTAAGCCACTTCACGCAGGGACAACACCAGAGGGTTCAAGCATAAGCAGAAGAATCAAATCATGAGCAGAAACCATGTATAGGGGCAGGGGCATCAGGGCTGGGAGTGGGGAGATGGGGAAGGAAGGCTCTGACCTGTAGGACAGCAGGGTTTCTTTGGGTTTTGGAATGGGTTGTTCTTTTTTTTTCCCAGTAGCTTATATGACCATGCACCAAAATCCTGTGGTGGGACAGGGGTGAAGGGAAACATCTGCCCAGACCTGTCACTTAAGATTAAGTCAGCCTATCAGAGTAATTGCTGTCCAAGTCGCAGGTGTGGAAGAGAAAGGAAAAACACAGTCAGTCTTCTCAACAACTCATGGTGTTTGTGATCTCCACCTTGATCAATGTTCTCTGCTGTTTCTTAGGAGAGACCCTGCACACTCCAGCCTAACAACCATTCATAACTGCTCTCTGCTCCCTTCCTCAAATGATTATGGTGAAAAGGAGCAAAAAAATGTCACACAGCCTCCTCTACCAGAGAGGTGGGCAGAAATTTGTGTCTTTTTTCTAGAGACAGCCCCAGTGAGATGCTGCCTTGGGGATGCATCATGGTTCCCATTCTGGGGAAGAGAAGACCCTCGTTGCACTTAGGATGTTAAGAATGTAGAAAGGCTACTGGAGGATGATCTCTTGAGCACTGATTTACTATGTAAAAAGCAAACCTCTCTCCTGTCTGTCCTGAGCTAACGTCAGTGATTTCCGTGTGTTCCTGTGTAATGGTTTTAACGTTACTCACTGGAGACATTGGATTTTCTGGAGTTATTTAACCACTGTGCTCAATATTTTAGGGGTTGATGATAATTTAATATAAATTTAGCTTTTCTTAACCACTCTGCCTGGCTTTTGGTTGTGAATCATGCATGTTCTTTGGACTCTCCTTTGAATGAGGAACTCCCAAACCTGTTCAGACAGGACCTCAACTTTGCTTTATTTGAGAGGAGCAAGAAGATAGGAAGAGATTTGGGTTTGTAGAAACCTGATTGTAGCACGCACTGTACCCCTTTGATTTTGAATCAAGGGCCCAATATCTACAGTCACTTCTGCAGATTCTTTCACACACATAATACCTCTCACTCTGCCCCATCTTGCTTTTTCACCCCCTCTTTAACATGGCAACAGCAGAAGGGGCTGTTCATATTAGGACTGTACATATTAGGACTGTAGAGATCTCAAGCCTCTGCCGAGTGGAAAATAAAGTTCTGAAGAAGAGCTGCTTTTTCTTTCTGTAGGGGGTTTTGTTTAAGCTTCTGTTGCCTTTTTTTTATAACCAAGAGTTTAAATAGTGCCAAAGGCTGAGTAATGAATGAAACGTCCATTAATAACTGACATTACAGTACTGGTGCTAGTCCTGTAACACATTCTGTCCTTTTCTGATGAAAAAACTACCTAAAACATTTAAAACAAGTGTATTTCTGCTCATTTCACAATTGAAGAACTGTGCAGAATCCATTTCAATCAGGTCATGAAAAAATTGCCTCTCTTCCAAAAAACTGATGATGCTCACATGGCATGGTGGGGAGAGGGCAGCATAAGATTAATTGCAGTTGTGTGCATGGCATTCTGGTGTCCCTTGTCTTCTATTCTGATCACCCATAAAAAAATTTCCTTCAATTTTTAAAGCTGAAGTGAAGAAACAAACGAGAGAAAATACACTGTGCTCCAAAACCAGTTCACAGAATGGGTCAGGGTGGAGAGGACACTGTGGGTCACCGGAGCCAACCTCCCTGATCAAGCAGGGTCACTCCAGAGCACATGGCACAGGACAGTGTCCAGACAAATCCTGTGATCTCTAGGCAGGGAGACTCCACAACTTCTCTGGGCCATCTCCCAGTGCACGGTCACCCACACAGTAAAGTTCCTCCTATTCATGTGGAATTTCCTGTGCATCAGTTTCTACCCGTTTCCTCTTGCCTTAATGCTGGGCACCACGGAGCTCATCCTCTGACACCTCTTCAGATACTGACCGACATTGGTGAGGTCCCCTCTCAGTCGTTTCTTGAGTTACTGCTTTACAAACTCTCTGACCATAAAGAGAAGGCCCATTGCTCTGTAACAGGATCTTCTCCAGAGCCGAATCCATCAGCTCCGAGATGCTTTAGCCCTTTGCTGGCGGGTCCCGCGGTCTGACCCAGCTGCCTTAGGACCTGCGCCTCTCGCCAGGCGCTACTCCGGCCGTAGTGGGGCCCGGCAGCCCCCTCCTGCACCCTCCGCGGGGACACGGCGGCGGCCGAGAGAGCGGACGGGCACGTCTCGGTAGCTGCCGAGCGGGGTACGGCCGGTGCCGCTGGAGACCGCCCGCGGCGGTGCGCGCTCCCGATAGCGCTGCTGCCGGCTCGGGAGCGCGCGGAGAGCACGCGCTGCGGCTGCCCCATTCAAACGGGCCAATAAGAGGCGCGGGCGCGAGCGCGGGCGGGGCCGGCAGCGGCCAATGGGCGCGGCGGACACTGGGAGGTGCGGGCGGTGCTGGCGATTTCAAACCCCGCCGAGCAGCCGCCGGACCGTCACCGGCCCGACCTGCCGGGCCCAGGTGAGACCCGATGGCCTTGTCCCTGCCCCGGTGGGCTCCGGCCCCTTTGCCGTCCGCGCCCGTGGGAGGGTGGCTAGGCCTGCCTCCGCTGCCAGGCCCGAGCCTCCCCGTTTCTCCCGGGAACCGTGTGGAGGCGTAGTCCCAGCGGTGCGACATCTCCCCACGGGGATGGCCCCGGCCCGCGGGCTGCGGCGGCATCCGTCCGCAGAGCCCAGCAGCGTGAGGATTGCGGCTGGTAGCGGCGAGAGGCTGCGGCCTGTACCGCGCCGCGCCGCGGAGGTGCAGCTCGCTCAGGCCGCCCGCCAGCCGGGGCGCGATGGGGCCGGTG